GGCGCGCAGCCCGGCCGCGGCCACGCCCTGCGCCGGGGTCCCTTCCGCCCTCGGGCGCGCGGCGGCCTCCGTGCTCCGGTCCTGGGAGCGGCCGCGGGGGCCGCCCGCCTTGGAGGCCCCGGTGCAGGATGTGGCCAAGCGGTCGGCCGGCTTCCTTTGCAAAACAGGATGCGGGCGGGGCGGGGCGTCGGGGGGGCCTGGAGCGGCCGCGGGGACGGGGAAACCGCCGCCGCCGCCCGCCGCCTTGCGCAGCGGGTCGCGCGGGGTTCCCGGAACTCGCGGGGCCCGCGGCCGGGCCGGGCCGGGCCTTCTCGCTCCCCGCCCCTAGTGCCACGTCTTCGCGCGGATCCCTTGCAGCCGGGGCCTTGCCGCCGATTCCGGCACGGCCTGCGGTCGAGGCTCCGCTCCGCTCCGGGCGGGAAGGGCCAGGGCAGCGCGCGGCGGCGGAGGCTCCCCGTCCCCGCCGAAAGGGCCTGGCGGGCCGCGCGTGGCGAGGCTCCTCGGGCCCCGCGGCGGCCCGCGGCCCGCCGGGGGTTTTCTGGCGCGCCCGGGGCGGGGGGGGGCCGCGCGGGAAGCCCGCCGCTCCCCCCAGCGGAAGCGCCCGCGGGCGGGGGCCGGAGCTGCTCGGCTCCCTCCCCCGCGCTGCCGCCTGGCGCGGGGCACAGGACCCGTCCCCACGTGCGGGCGGGCGCCCGCGGGCCAGGCCAGAGCCTTCTCTGGCGGCGCGGGCTGCGGGCGGTGCCCGGTCCCGCCCTCTGGGGAGGGCTTGCAGCCCCCCAGCCTTGCGGCCAGCGCCCCACCAGGTAGCGCGGAGTTCGGGGGCTCGGCGGCCCCCGCTCTTCCGCCTGGCCCGGTTCTCGCCCAAGTTAGTGTGCCCGCGCCCTGTGGGCTGGCCTGTGCCCAGCTGCCCGATGCGCATCCCCGGCCGGCTGGCACGCTGCACGAAACGGCTGCGGCCAGCCCCTTCGGGGATTTGGCCGCGGGAACGGGCTGGACGGGGCCCGGCCCCACTGGCCCCGGGAGCGCCGCTGCCCGTGCCCCCAGCCAGGCTCGCCAGGGCAGGCTGCTCCTGGGGCCCCGGAGCAGAGGCGCCCGGCAGCGTGTGGGGCAGTAAGTCGAGCCGCGGCGGGTGAAACGCTTCCAGGTCAGCGGCAGAGTGTGCCCCACAGGCAGGCCCCTCCCGAGAGGGGAAGTGGGCCGCGCCTGCTACAGGGGGGCCGCGCCTGCCCGGCCCGTGCTCCCGCGTGACCGGGCGGCTGGGAGCCGCGGCGCTCGCCCCTCCTCCCCTCCCGCCAGCCCTGCCTTTTAGGGTGGAAAAATGCTCCGGAGCGCCGGGGCAGAGACCACACTGCATTGCGTGCATCTCACCCCCCCCCGCATGGGGAAGAGGGCGCCTGGGAGGGCGAAGGGGTGTCCCCCCCCCCGCCCGCCTTCCCGCACGGGAGCTGTGTGTTCCGCTTTTCCTTGGAGCGCTCTTGCCAGAGCGGAACATAGAGGGGGCCTTGTTTGGGTGGACAACAGGTGGGTTCTCCCAGCTGTGGGGGGGTTTTGTTTTTGGCAAAGGGGGCAGCGAGCAGTTGCGTATTCCTGTGTGCAGCAAGCTGCCATCCCGGGAGGGCCTCGGCCCTGCAGGGTCCGGCCAGGGAGGGGAGGGCGGATGCAGTTCTGGGTCCAGAGGCCGGGGCTCTGCAGTCGGGATGCTCCCGCAGCAGGGAGGCACCCGGTGCAGCCCTCGGCCCGTGGGGGGCAGCTCTGGGGCCCCGCTTCTCACCCGCCCCCCCTCCCCACGCAGCCCGCGGAGGTGAACACCCTGATCGCCAAGGACCGGAGCAACCTGTTCGTGAACGGGCTGTCGCTGGGGGGGCTCAAATGCTCCGTGATCCGGGACAGCCTGCACACGGAGGGCGAGTACACCATGGACCTCCGGACGAAGAGCACCGGTGGGGCCCCCACCTTCAACATCACAGTCTCCATGACCGACAAGAGTGAGTGGCCCCCCGCCCCCCAACGCATCCTTTCCCGACTGCTGCCCGGGGCTCCCCTCCAGGCCGCGTGAGAAGGGGGCTGTGAGCCTCGCTCACCAAGAGCCAAGGCCGGAGCCGGTGCGGAGCTTTCTGGCTTGTGGGCCCGCCGCCTCCTCCCGGCCAGGCCCGGGCGTGTGCCAAGAGCTACCTTGGGCGAAGGCCAGCCCGCGTTCGAGGTTTGGTCCCCGTGCCCCACCCCGGGTCACTGTGTCACAGCGCGGGCAGGGCGCTGCCGCTCAGGGCTTTCCACGTCTCGCTGCCGCCAAAACTCGCCTCACGGCACTTTCCAGGCAGCCCGGCTTCACTCGTGAGCAGCAGCAGGCGTGCCGAGCCTCCGGGTGCCAGCACGGCGTCCTCCCCGCACCGCACGTGGCGCTTTCTTTCCTCGCCCGCGGCCCGGCCCTGGCCCTGCCTCCCCAGCTGTGTGGGGCTCAGATCCTGGCTGTGGGGCAGGGACCTGCCGCTGACGGGCGTGCCCCCCTGTGCTCCCCCCGCAGCGCTAGTCGCCGTGATGGGCAAGGAGGGCGTCCACGGCGGCTGCGTCAACAAGAAGTGCTTCGAGATGGCCAACCACTTGCGGCGGTCGCACTATTGACGCCCGCCTCGTCCCGCTGCGGTACTACTGATGGAACGGTGTAAGGAAGTCCAAGGTGGCTGCGACCGCCCGGGGCCCCCGGCCCGACCATCGTGGGACCGAGCCCGGCGCCGGATCGCCGCAGATTCCAGTTGTCTGTCCCCCCACTCGCTCCTGCCTCTACCGTTTTTTTCTAACGCCTTCCTCTACCACCCCTTCCCCCCACACCTTGCCTATTTTCTTTGCCATTTTTTCTATCACAAATCCTTATCGCTGCCAAATTTTGATTGTTACAAGGTGTAGTTTTTTGGTTAAGAAAACTATATTGGAACAAGAAAAAAAATAAATAAAAGAAATTCAATTCTACAGCCCGCGTCCGCCCATCTGTCTGGTCGCTGGCGAGGGAGGCGACTGTGGGGCCTTGCTGTGGCAGGCGGGGGGCGCGGGGCCCGGCTGCTGCCGCGGCGGCGTGAGCCGAAGGGGCCGCTCGGCGCCGGCTCCGCGGAGGGCCAGTCCCGCCGCCTGCAGGGGGCGCGGTCGCGGGGCCCCTCGTCTCCGGAGCGCCCCGCTCGCCCGCGGCCGTGCAGGACACGCGCCCTGGGGCTCCGGAAAGCGGGGCCGGAAGGGGCTGCCGCGACGCCCTGGATCGGCGGGGCGGGGTGGGGCGCGGCGGGAGGCGCGAGTCCCGCCCGGCCCGCAAACACGGCTGACTCAGGAGGCCTCTGCCCTGCGGCGCCTGCGCAGGCGCGGCCCGCCCCCCCCCCCCCCCCCGGGACGCCCGGCCGGCCGGCGCACCGCGTCTCCGCTGTACAAAAGCACCAAGCGAGGCGTATTTCAAGGACTGTTTAATGGACTGCCGAAAAGGGCTAGTGGGAGTCCAGCGGCGCTCGCCCCGCCGGCGAGCAGACACACGCCCCGCTGGCGCGCACGGGCCGGCGCAGGGCGGCCCCTCTGCCAGCAGCGCTCGGCGCGGTTCACGATCCACGTTCTTCGCAGCGCCCCCCGGGCGGCTCGGAGCGGGGCCAGGCAGCGGCGGGGGCAGGTCGCCCTCCCGCCCCAGAGCACGGCGCCCCGCCCGCCCCGGAAGGTGCCTGGGCTGGCGCGGGGACACGGGCGCAGCGCCGGCGGGGCTCCCGGGTCGGGTCGGGTCGTGCTCCGCAGCGGGCGGGTCAGGGCTCGCACAGCCCCCCCAGGACGCGGCAGGGCCGGCGGAGGGGCGGAGCGCGTGCAGAGTGCGCGCCACGAGGCCCAGCCCGCCCGGCTGGCAGCGGAGGGCGAGGGGCTGGGGTCCGCGGCAGAGCGCCGCCGGCACCCGAACGGGCGGCTGCCGCCCCCGCCCGTGCCCCTGGGCTGCAGCGACAGACCGCCACTGGCTGGGGAGAGCCCGGGCCGGGGGGGGGGGCACTCCGGGGGGGGCGGCTGCACCTCCCTTGCTGCGGGGAGAGCCAGGGCGGCACGGGCGACTGGGCACACCACTGGCGGGGGGCTGCCTGGCCGGCGAGGCAGCCACCCCGACCACCTCCCAGAGGCCGTGCACTGCCCTGGGGGGCCCCGGCCCCCCCCGGCCCCTGGAGGTTAGACTGGAAGCTCTGGAAGCTCACTGGTAGAAGCTGAGGGCCCCCTGCCGCCCCTGCCCGTCACTGGGAGGAGGGCCTGTCCTGAGTCCCCCTTCCCTGGGGGCAGGGAACACTGGGGGCGACGGGGAGGGGGCTAGGCGACCAGGGGGCTCCAGGGGTGCTCGGCACGGGGAGAAGGCTGCCCCTGCCCCCCCTCCTCCGAAAGGCTGAGGGGGCTGGAGGGGGGGCAGGGCGCCATGCTGCCGAAAGACGGGGGCCCCGGCGGCACCGCGGGCGAGCAGCGCAGCAGGGGGGTGCGCTCCGAGTCGCCCTCCGCCTCCTCCGGCTCCGGGGGGCCCCCGCCGTCGCCGTCGCCCTCGTCCCGGGACGGCGTGGCCCGGCCGGCCCCTCCCTCGCCCTCCGAGTCGGAGTCCTCGGGCGAGCGGACGGCGCGCTGCTTGCACACGGGGCAGGTCCTCTTCGTCTGCGTCAGCCACGGGTCCACGCACTTGCAGTGGTAGGCTGCGGGCCACGGAGAGAAGAGAAGGCCCAGCATACCCTCTGCCCCACACCGGCGGGCCCGGCCGCCCCATCGCAGGAGCCGAGCCAGGGGCTCAGGCCCCTGCCCCCCCAGCACGGGCGCTCCAGGGGCCCTACCGTGGGAGCAGGGCAGGATGCGCAGGCGGTCCCCGTCCTCGTACTCCTCCAGGCAGATGGCGCAGACGTCGTACTCGTCCCCTGGGGCAGGGCACAAGGCCGGTCAGCCCCCAGCGGCGGCCCCCCCAGCCCGGCGGGGCCACGAACCGGCCTCACGCGCAGCCTGGCTCGGGCCCCCGCGTGCCACCCCTCCCGCGGGGGCCAAGGGCGCAGCCCCCACCGGGGCCCCGGGGCCCCTCGGCTGCCCCCGCCAGGCCGGCACACCGGGCCCTCCTGCCATCCGCCCCACGCCCGGAGCCGTGGCCCCAGGAGCCTCGCGGGCCGCACCCCGGCAGGGAGGGCAGCGCCCCCGGGAGCCCGCTCTCCGCGGGAGCGAGGCGCCCCCCCCCCGCTTTCCGAGCCTCTGGGCGGCCGGGCGCGCGCGGCCGGGCGCGGGCACGAGGGCCGCCCGCGGGCGCCGCGGTGGGCCTCTCGCCGCGAAAACAGGAAGCCGGCGGCGCGCGGCGGCGCTCCTCGCCGCGCCTTATAAGGCAAGGAGCGCGCCGGCCGCCGCTTCCTCCCCCGCTCCAGTCAGAGCGAGAGGGACTCGGCCGAAAGGGCGGGCGCGCGCGCGGGGGGGCCCGGACCGCAGAGGGGGCGGGGGCCGCCCCGCCCCCCGCTCCCCCAGCGCCGGCGGCCGCAGCGGGCTGCGCCTGGCGAGGGGCAGGCTCGACGCAGCAAGTTGCTAGACCTCATGGGAAGCGAAGATTTGGAAACGCGGGGGGAGGGGGCCAGGCTCTGAAGGTAACTGGCAGTCAGCGCAACCCCGGGCGGGGGGAGCGCAGCTCTCGAGAGGAAGTCAGCCTTGTCGCCTGCTGCCTCTCTGCAGGAGGCCCGGCTCTGCCTGGGGGAGGGGGCACGGGGAGGGCGCCAGAAGGTGCCCCCCGGCAGCCATACTGCCTTCGCAACGGGATGGCCAAAACGGCCCACTCCCCCCTCGCAGCAGGGGCAGCGGGGCTGGCAGGACTGCAGGAGCCCCCAGAAGCAGGCGCAGACCACCAGCCAGACCCCTCCCCATGCAGGGCCTGGGGCAACGGGAGACTGGGGGGGGGCAGGTGATGGAAGGACAGAGAGGCGGGAGGAGGGGCAGGGCGAGTGCGCAAAGCCCCGCTGGCCCACAGCAGGAGGGGGCGGGAGGGCGGGAGGCAGCTCCCGGGCGCAGGCAGCAGCCCCGCATCCTTTGGGGTGTGCCGCCCAGCATCTGGGGCAAGAGGTGCCTCCGACCCCTGGGGGGCGCAGCCAGCAGCACACCTTCCCTCCGCTCGGCCAAGGGGTCTCCACGAACTCTGCCCCAACCGCCCAGGAAGCCCCCCCGCTGCCCCGGGGCCTTCCGGTCCTCACATGCGGCCCCGCAACCCGGCGGGACCCCTCCTCCCACTCGGGGCCGCGGGCTGCAGGCCCCCCCCCCCGGGACCACCTCGACCCCCAGCGCCGGACGAGGCCCTGCGATGGGACGAGCCGGCGAGCCCCCTGCCCAGCCGCTGGGGCGCGTTTTGTCCCGCCTTGATGTCTATGGGAGGGGGCCGCCGGCACGGCAGAGCCGCCCCACGGGGCGAACGGGGGGGGGCAGCCGGGGCGGAAATGAGCCCCTGGGCGAGAGGCCCGGGCCCGGCGCCGCCGGCCAGCAGCCGCCTCCGTGCGCGCCGCCGAGCCCCCCCCCGCGTCAGGGGGAGGGGCCCTCCGCGCCGCCCCTCCGCCTCCCCCCCCCGCGGCCGGGCCCCCCCAGCGCTGGAGCCGGAGCAGCCGAGCCAGGGCGGAGGCGGAGGGAAGGCGAGGCGGCACAGCGCCCTCTGCCGGGGCACAGGCGCCGTGCAGGCCCCGCCGCGGAACGGGAGGCCCCGAGCGGCCCCTTGCGGGCCGGCCCTGCCAAGAGCCGCTTCCTCGGCCGGGCCCCCGCGCGCGCCCGAGACGCTCGCGGCTCCGGCCAGCCCGGCTCCGGGCACTTCTCCCGATGGGTCCCTGCCCCACGGAGTCTGCAGTCTAGGGCAGGCAATGGAACAGGGAAGGACGGGGGGGAGGGGGGAGTACTGAGGCAAGGACCTCGCTGCTCCCCCCCCCACTCTCAGCTGCGCCCCTCTCTCGCAGACTGTGCGGGAGGTCTGGAGAAGGGGAGCGCAGGGGAGGGAGGGGTCCCTTGGGACCCCCGGGGCACGAGGCACAGGCGGAGAAGGAGCCCTGAGGGCCAGAGACTGAGGGATGGACCGGTCGGGGTGCCGCCAGGGGAAAAGAGGGGCGGAGAGGCGTGGGGCCTTGTGCAGGCCAGGGAGACGCCTGGGCAGGGGGGAGCAGTGGGCGGAGGCCCCGCAGGGGTCAAAGCTGACTGCCGGAGGGACAGCGTGGGCCAGGGAGCGGATGCTCGGGGCAGCAGCAGCGCTGGGGGCACGCGGGGGCGGGGGGGCGATAGAGGGGGGTGAATATGGCAGGGGAGGGGAAGGCGGCACCGAGGGGGCTGTGCCGGACGGAGCCCTTCGCACACGTGCGGGGGAAAGGTCTCCCCGTGCAAAGCACCCGCTCGCCCGTGCGCAACCCAGCAGTCGGCCGCGGCGGAGGAGGCTGAGCCGGCAAGGCTGCTCGCACGGCCCCGGCCTGGGCTCTGGCCCCCGGCGTTACCTTTCTTGTACTTGTGCACAGGGATCTTCTTCAGCTGCTCCTTCGAAAGGCGGTTCCTCCGCATCCTCTTCCGGTGCTGGACGCAGCGCACGATCTGCTCGGGGGCGGGAGGGGGAGGAAGGGGCGGTGGGAGGCTGGCCGAGCGGCCCTCGGGGGACGGGGCCCCCACGCCACGCGTGTGCCACGGGCAAGCGTGCCGGAGAGCAGGTCCGCAGCTCTGGCCACGCTCGCCCGGCGGCAAGGCGGGTCCTGCCGGCGTGGCTGCCCCGCAGCAGCTCCAGGCACGGGGAGCCAGGGAACCCCAGCCCTGCCCCCCGCGCTGCCGGCCACGGGTCCCGCCAGGCCGGCTAGAGCAAACCGTGGGCAGAGAGCCCGCTGCGCCCCCCGGGACCCCGTGAGCGGATTGGGGCTCACTCACCAGAATGGTGCACATCACCACGATCACGATGCCCACCACCCCGGTGAACGGGATGAGGTAGTACCCCAGCGGGAAGATGAACGCCGGCACCAAGGCAACGCGGCCGCTGCGGACGGCAGAGAGCGGATGGCACCCGGCAGGCCCCCCGCGGCCCGGCCCGGCCCCCCCCGCCTCACGGCCCCCCAGGGAGCCTCCCAGGGCGAGGCGGCCACCCCCAGCCCGCTTCTCCGCGCTTGGGCGACTGAGGCAGGAGATGCAGGGGCCCCGGGGTACCCCCGCCCCAGGGGCCGACCTCCAAGCGGGGGCGCTGGCCCGCTCCCCCGGCGCCACTCTCTGCAGCAGGGAAGCCCTCCCCACCGCGGGCGGTGGGGGCCCCGGGGCCACAAGAAAGCCGAGCAACGGGGAGCCCTCCGGGCCCCCGCCCCACGGCCCCCGCCCGGCTGCCCCCCTCGCCGCTCACCCCCTCTCGTAAGTGAAGAGGCTGCGCAGGTACGCGGCGGCCGTTTCGCCAATGAACACGGACGGGATGGTGATGCGCCTCCGGAGCTTCTCTGGAGAAGATGCGGGGGAGGAAGGGTCTCGGGTCAGTGGGGGCCCGGGGCAGAGGCCGGGCGTGCGCGCTCCCGTGCCCCCCGCTCACCGTCGTCGCAGACCATGCTCAGCAGGCTGTCGGAGCCCACGTTGCGCACGATGGCAGCCGCGTACCCAGCCTGCTGGGCGTGGAACACCTGGGGGGGGAGAGAGGCGCGCAGGGGGGGGGGGGGGGGGGGGGCGCTGCTCCCAGGCGCAACACCCCGGGCTTCCACTCCGTGCGTTCTCAGGAGCAGTGTTGCTGCCCAACCGCATGCCCTGCTGGGGGGCCGCAGCACAGAGCACGTCTGCAGGCAGGAGTCCCAGAGCCAAAGCCCCCCCCCGCTTTCCAAGCAAGAGGGGAGTGGGTGCGGAGACGGCCCCCGCAGACACCTGCCCCTCTCCGAGGTGGGGCGGCCCCGCCGGTGTCGGGGGCGGCCGAAGGCGACCAGCTGACAGCTGAAGGGGCGTCCTGGGCTTGGGGCCCCACAGCCCCGAGCGCAGCCGGGGGGGGGGGTCCGTGGGCCCTGTGGAAGCGCTCCCGCCCCCGGGGCCCTGCCCGAGCCCACCTTTACGTCGAAGCTGCAGTTGAACCTCCGGATGAGGGCCACAAAGACGCTGCGGTTGGACGGCGGGGCCTCGACGGGCTGGCAGGCGTGCGCCGGCTTGGCCTCCACCAGGAAGCCCTGCGGGAGGAGTGGGGGGCGGGCTCAGCTGGGGCTGCCCCGAGGGGGGACCGCCCCCGCGGGAGTGCGGGGGGCACCGCACACAGAGACCCGCCGGCGGCCCAGGCTCCCAGCCCGTGCCGCTGCGGACACCCACCTCGAGCCCCTCGCGAGGCAGGGCGCTCCCAAACATGGCCGGCAGGTCCGAGAACTCCATGCTAGTGTTGTGGTCCGACACCTGAGACGGGGGGGGCACATTCCCGGCTGTCACTCGCCGCTGGCCACTCGGGGCAGATCTCCCGGCGGCCACACGTGCCCCGCAGGGTGGGGGGAGCGAGGCGCCGGAAGGGCTCTGCGCTGCCATCGCGCCGCCAGACCCGGGCGGGCAGAAGCGTCTCAGCAGGGTGGCCGGCTGCAAGTCGCCGAGACCCCGGAGGGCCCACGGGACCCCCCCCCCCGGCCTCCCGCAGCCCGGTCACTCGCTCGGCCTGTGTCGCGCGGCCGGCTCCTCGAGGGCAACCCCTCGGGGCCCACCGCCTTGGCCCCCCCACGCAGGCCCGTGCCTCCTGCCCCACGGCTGACCGGCACAGCGGCGAGCCAGCTTCCCCCCCACCCCCAGGCACACTTGGCGGCAGGAGGGCCGGTGGCTCCGGGTGGCCGGCCCGGCCGGTGGCCTGCAGCGCCCCCGTGTGGTGAGAGCAGGAGCACACACCGCAATGCCCAGGCCTCCCCTGGGGAGGACTTTGCCCGCCCCTGCCCCGTATGGGACTGCGCGCCCATCATCCCCCGGCATGCGACTTACGGCTCGGACGTAGCCCTTGGTGGCCGGGAGTTCGGCGAGCAGGCAGGCCAGCAGGAGGGGGGCCGTGGCGGCGGCAGGGAAGGGGTGCCGGGCCCGGGCCATGTCCCCCGGCGGCAGTCCTGCAGCAAGGGCACAACGGCCGCGGGGGGAGCCGGGTCAGGAGCTGCCTGGCCCCCCGCCCTCCCCGCCCTCCCTCTGGCTGGAGACGCGCGCCAGGCCCCAACCCGGGAGCTCCAGCTCCACCCACGCAGCAGGAAGGGGCGCCCCACGTGGCACATGGGCTCTGGGTGCCTTGCTGGGCAGCGCCAGAGTCTGGGCGAGGCGGGTGCTGGCTCGGGGGACCGCTTGCCCACCCGCCCGAGAGGAACGTCCTCCACACACGTCTGGACTTGCCTTCGCCTCGGCCCCCTGGCCCCACGACCTGGGCAGCAGTCCCCCCTTCCGGAGGGTGGGGGTTCGATGGGGGCAAGGAGACAGGCACCCCTGCTGGCCCCCACCTCTGCTGTGGGTTTCGAGGGGGGCAAAGGCAGCTGCTGACTGCTGCATCGTGAGTAGGGACGGCCTTTTCGTGCAGGCAGAGCCAAGGGCCTGGGCCTGGCGTGGGGGGGGGCAGGGCAGCCTCGCCTCAGTCCCTCCTTCCGTCAAACGCCACCCACCCCTCGCAGAGCGAGGGGGCACCTCGGGAGGCCCCGGGCCAGGGGGAGCCTGGCACAGCGCTCTGTGGGGCAAGGCAGCCCGCCGCTGTGGGGGCCCGCTGAAGTGGGGGGCAGCGTGCCGGTGCTTCCCCCCTCGCCAGCCAGCCGCCCCATGCAGACGGCCCGGGCATTTCCGGCCCCACCGGCCGTCTGCTCCCCCCCCGCGGGACACTTCTGGAACGCGTGGCCAGCAGCCAGTACTTCTCCTGCGCGCCGACTCCCGGAGACGCCAGCAGGGCCCCCACCCCGATGTTCTGGGCCAGGCCGCGGGGGGGCAGAGCCCCCCATCCTGGTGCACCAGGGAGTCTGCATAACTCCCCCCATGGAGCGGATGTTGCCAAGTGGGCAGGGAACCGCAGCCGCTCCCCCGCGGAGAAGCTGGGGCCCCTCTGCGCAGGGCAGGGCCGAGAGACGGCCCCCGACTCGGACGGACGGCTCAGAGGGGGCCGGGCCTTCACCGAGGAGGAAGCCCCCGGGTGCTGCCGGGAGCCGGTGGTCATTCGAGGGAGCTGCGGGAGAGCGGGCCCCCCCCCCCCCGTCCCTCAGACTCCCTGCTGCGGGGCCCTGTGGTGTGCACTGCAGCCGGGCCAGCCTGCCTGTTTCCCAGGGAGCCCCCGCAGAGCCCCCCCGCCCTCCCCAGAGTCGACCAAAACCCGCCGCTGGGCCGAGAGCGGAAGCATGGATGCCGCCGGGGCTGGTGGCTCTCTGGAGAGGCTGAGGCCGAAGGCTCCCCCAGCGGATATGCCGCCACAGCACGACAACCCCGGAGTCCAGGCCGAGTGAGCGCTCACAAGAGCTCGGCCGGGGGCAGAGGGCCTCCTCGCGTGTCCCGTGGAAGGGGAGCGAGCCGGGGCGGTGGCCGAAAGAGGCAGCGTGCCAGGCAGGCCCCAGCCCCCCCGCCCCCATCCTGGTGCCCTCACCATCGTCTTCCGCGGGGCAGGCTTGGGAGGGCCGGGCCGCCAAGGCTCAGAAGCAACATCAGGACCCGAGCGGAGGGCTCCCAAGGCAAAGGAGAGCGCAACAGCCCCACGGAGAAGGCGGGGAGTGGACCCACAGCGCTCTCTTGCGCGGGGGGGCAGCCCAGGCCCAGCAGGCCGCTGCGGCACGCCCCCCGAGGACCCTCGGCCTGCTCGGAGCAGCCGCCCCGTCTGGGGAGCTCCCGGGGCCTTCTGAGCTCCCTCATGGTGGGAGGCAGCGCCTCGGCCGAGCCGGCAGCGGTGGAGTCCGTGCCCCGAAGGCTCCCTGCGCTCGGTCCGGCCCCCGCGGCGCGTGAGCGCATGTGGCACGTCTCGGCCGCCCTTGCGCTCTCCCTCCCCGCCGCTCAGCAAGCGCCGCGGCAGCGGAACCGGCTCCCTCGCAGGCACCCGCTTTATCCCACGCGCCTCGGCTCCATCTCGAGCGGCCACCTCCGGCCTGTTGGCCGCTGCAGCCAGCTGGACTCGTCCGCGGCCCGCACACCCCTGGAGGCGGCCCCCGGGGGACCCCAGCCATGCTGTGGGAGGCACTGAGGGCCTGGGGGGGAGGGGGGAGGGGGCAGGACCCTCGGGGGACCGACCTGCGACCAGGGAGAGTCGCAGGCTAGCCCTGTCAAGGGGCACGAGGGCAGAAGGCAACAGAAAGCCGAGCGAGGCAGGGGAAGAGTAAACGGAGGTAAATAATGGCTGGCCAAAGGACTGGCGGAAGGGGGGGGGCTGGGGGGGGAGGAGTGACGGGGGGCGCCTCCCACAGGTGTTAGTGAGAGACACCCCTATATTGGCGAAGGAAATGAGTCACTGAACACCTCGACGCCGACACGCGTCTTGCACGAGTCCGGTTTTATTTTCTCTGCATCGTCCAGCAGAGCCGTCGGCTGTTCGACCACCGAGGGGGCTGACCGCTCGGGCACAAAATCGAGGGAGAGGCGGACGGAGGAGATCGGGAACAAGTCGCTCGTGGCAGCGGAACGGGCAGAGCAGAGGAGAGGCGGCCGGCAAGGCCGCCAAAGACACGCCAGGCGCAAGCGTTCACACGCGTGTGGTGCGGGGCCCTCGTGCAGCCAGCGGGCGGAATGCCACGCTGCCCGCCTCGCAGGGCTGTCCGGAGGGCAAGCCCCCATCACGGCCACGTGGCCCCTGCTGCAGCAGAGCGCTCTGCAGAACGCTTCCGACTGCCCCCCGGAACGAGTCGGGCTGCACCCGGGCGCTGGGAGGGTGCCCAGTGCACCCGGGGGGTGCCAGGTGGGGGGGCTGCTCCAGCAGACAAAGGGCCCCAAGAGCCCCCCCCCCGGGACCTGGGCGCTTTCACACCGGGGTCTTCTCACAACGTGACTTCCGTGGCTCCGCGCGTGCCGGGGGTCCCGGGCCGGGGGGTGGGCTCCCTCCACGACTTGGGGGAGGGGGCTGCAGATCCCCCTGCCCCTTCCGCAAGGTCTGTCCATGCACGGCTCCCCAGGATGTGGGTCTGCCCCCACCTTTAGCTGCTTTCTAAAATGGGGCCTAAGGAGGCATTTTTTAAAGCCCAGCCGGCGATGAATTGCCAGCATGAAAACCACTTTGCTCTGTCTTTGTGCCGGGGGGGGGGGGGGGGGGGGCCTGGCTGCAGTGCTCGGCCGGAGCGGGCCTTCGCAGTTGAAACCGGGGGAGCAGGAGGGCAGGGAGCCCCAGGCACGGGTGGAGCCTGGGCAGAGCGGCCAAGGCGGCCCCCCACCCCTCTGGCCCACCGGGGGTGTGCCAAGCCTGCAGGGGCGGGTCCTCAGCCAGCAGCAGGCCCCTGTGCCGTGCCTCCCGCCCCGAGTCAGAGGCCACACAAGCCCAGTGCCGCGTCCCTCGCCGCCCCCACCCGTCCCGGCGCTCTACTCACCCAGAGGAGCACGGCGGGAATCCTCACTCCGCTCAGCGGGCAGAGCCAGAAGCGCGGCCGGCAGACGTTAAGGGGTCCCTCTCATCCGCACGGACGGCTCGCCAGCTCCCTCTCCCATCTACGCCCTGTGGGGGAGAGCGGCGCTCAGCACGGCGAGTGGCGAGCCGGCCCCGGCCAGGGCTCCGCCATCCCTGGGACACTCCGGAAGGCTCCAGAATGCCCCTCCCGGGGCGGCTAGGGCGGCACACGCCTGCCGGGTTCCCGAGAGCAGGCGAGACCCTTTCTGGCCAGCGGACACCTGGGAGCCGCCTGTGGATGGGCGCTGGGTTTGCTCCACTGCTTCCATGTGTGCAGGCTTTTTAAAACTGGTAGTGGCTGCATTTTAGTATTCAATTGATGCAATTATAGTTCTTACTTCTGAAGACTAGTACCGACTTTAACATTGCGAGACCACCTGCGACATTGCCCCTCCGCCCCCCCCCCGTCCCCCACTGTGCTTCCCCCGCCCCCCCCCCCCCGATGCTCAATTGCCACAGCAGGAGGGAGGCTCTCCGGGGCTGCCCAGCCGCAGCCCCTCAAAGGCTGCACTGTCCCCTCACCAAAGCCCCCCATCCTCCCCTGCTGCGTATGATGCCTGCCAAGGACTCCACAGACCTGCAGCACCTCTCCCCTTCAAGCCCCCCAAAACGCTTCCAGAACCGCCAGCACTTCTGTCAACTGCAAGTAAGACAAGCGCATCTAACCAAAGAAACGCTGTCTTAAGTCCATTGTAGGAAAAACTGGCGGCCACACAACACGGCTTCCGCAAAAACAGGTCCTGCCAGACAAACCTTGTGGGATTCTACGACAAGGTTTCGAGCTGGCTAGAAGGAGGGGATGCAGTGGATGTGGTTTACCTGGATTCCAGCAAGGCCTTTGACAAAGTGCCCCATGATATCCTGGTGGAGAAACTGAGGAGTTTTGGGATACACCAAAGCACTGTCCGGTGGATTAGGGCATGGCTGACTGACCCAAAGCAGAGGGTAACCATTAGCGGGGAATCATCAGGATGGTGGCCAGTGACAAGCGGGGTCCCCCAGGGCTCTGTCCTGGGGCCCATCCTGTTCAATCTTTTCATTAATGACATGGAAGAAGGGGTGAACAGTCTGCTGATCAAATTCACAGATGATACTAAAACTGGAGCAGTGGCCACAACTGAGGAGCAGGTACTCCAGATGGAAGTGGGCAGACTATGGAAGTGGGCAGGAGACAACAGGATGGCGTCCAGTGTGGAGAAGTGCAAGGTCTTGCACTTGGGGCATAGGAATGGGCGCCATAAGTGTAGGTTAGGGGACATGAAAGGGACCTCGGGGTGCTGGTTGACTGCAGGCTGAACAGGAGCCAGCCGTGTGATGCGGCGGCCAAGAGGGCGAACGCCACCCTTGGCTGCAGAGCCAGAAGTGCGGCTTCTAGATCGAGAGAGGGATTACTGCCCCTCTATATAACTCTGGGACTGCAGGTGGCGCAGCGGTTTAAACCGCTGTGCTGGTGGGCTGGTGGATCGAAAGGTCGCCAGTTCAAATTCACAGACGGGGCGAGTTCCCGTTGCTCCGTCCCAGCTCCTGCCAACCTTGCAGTTCGAAAGCGTGCAAATGCGAGTCGATAGAAAGGTGCCGCTTCGGTGGGCAGGTCACAGCGCTCTGTGCACTCCGGTGTTGAGTCACACGGCCACACGACCACGGAGACTGTCTGCGGACAAGCGCCGGCTCCCTCGGCCAGGAGACGGAGAGGAGCACCGCCCCCTGGAGTCAGGCATGCCTGGATGTCACGTCAAGGGGAAACCTCTACCTTTATGCGACTCTGGTGCGCCCACAACTGGAGTATTTGGCTCAGTTCTGGGGCCCCCATTACACGAGGGACATAGCAAGGTTGGAGTCAGTGCAGCGAAGGGCCACAAGGTTGGTGGCCGGTTTGCAGGGGAAGCCATATGAGGCAAGACTGAGGGAGCTGGGCCTCTTCAGCCTGGAGGAGAGGAGACTCAGAGGGGATCTGTGGGCGACATACAGGTGTGTGAGGGGGTGTCACACGGAGGTGGGTAGAGACCTGTTCTCCCCTGCAGAGGAAGGCAGGACGCGCTCCAACGGGGCAAAGCTCAGGGAGCCAAGGTTCAACTGGGATGCCGGGAAGCACTTCCTGACAGTCAGGACCCCGAGGGTGTGGGATGGGCTTCCCCGGGAGGTGGTTGAGGCCTCATTGGTAAGGGTGTTCAAGGATAGGCTGGACGTCCACATGGTGGGCATGTCGTGAGCGGAGCCGGCTGGAGCCGGGGGTCAGACTAGATGGCCCGGGAGGCCCCTTCTGACTCGCTCTGTTTCTCTGTCTTTCCCTGCTGCCATCTCCTACCCTTCCCCACTTCTGCTGTCCTTTGAGCTGACTTGTGGATTGTTAGCTCTTTGGAGTAGAGGGTCGACTTCTTATAATGTGTAAATGCAGGATAAAAAACACCAGAAAGGAATCCAAATGATCCAGAATAAAAAAACCAGGACGCACATTGGGTCGGCGCTTCTATGTGGCTTCACTCTGAGAAGCGGCCTTGTGCTCAACTTCTCGAATGAAATCACACGCACTTTTCCCAGCATCCGCAGCCCTTGCAAACCGGCCTTCCCCTGTCCAAAACACCCCAGGTGGGCTGGTCGCCTGTAAACATGGGCGCTGCAGTCAACACAAACAAATCATGGGAGCTGTAGTCAAACAGCAGGCCAGGTTGCGACAGGCTGTCACAGAGCGCCAAGTTCGCTGCATCCAGAGACTGAACAGCAAGGTTCGGGCCTGGCAAGCGGGCAGGCCTAGCGCCCCACACCTGTGCGCTCCCCGTGTGACGCGCTGACGTGCCCGCGGTGCGTGTCGGCGAAGGTGTGGGGTTGCGCCGGCACAGTGCTGGCGAAACAGCCAGGCGCTTGTGAAAACCGGGGGCCGCCCACAGAGGAGGAGTGCGCCGGGGCAGCCCGCGCAGCGTGGGAGGAAGGCCTGGGGCGCAGGAGCCCCTCGACCAGCCCCGTGGGCGCCCCCGCCCCGCCCGGCACCGGGCAGGCCGGGGCCAGGAAAGCCTCGGGCAGGGCCTCCCCCCGCCGCCCGCCGCCCAGGGCAGGCTCCCGCCGAAGCCCCGGCCGACCGCGCGGCCCATCCCGGACGCCGGCGCGGGGCGGCCCCGCCTCC